CTGAGGTTATTTGAATGCACAATGTACTTCAGAACTGATTCCATAAATGGTTCCATATATGTATGTTCTCAATTGCACATAACTTTTGTTGTTGTTTCAAGTTGTTTTATAAGTATGCTCCAATGTTGTTTATTTTATTGTTTATTATTTGGTCTGTCTATTATGTTATGCTGGCGTCAAATATCTGCCAATTTTTTGTTGTAAATTGCCCTGAGTCCCCCAAGGGAGATAGGGTGGGATAAAAAATAAAGTTATTACTATTGTTACTTTGTTAAATTTTCATTTTTTTCCCAGAAGAATATAATAATTTCTAAGAACAGTCTAATGTTTTACAAAACCAAGTGTCAGATGATTCCAAGTGTGTGCAATACAAGAATGTTACATCACTTGGCTTCAAACAATATATGTATTTGTTTTGTAGACAACTATTCAGCAGAGCTCTTGCTCTAGGGCCATTGCAGATGTCAGGATCTGGGGTGTGTGGATGGAAAGGAATTCCGTGCATAAAAGCGAAAGACAAGCCTGTGATGCATATTCATGAAAGCTCTCCATAGTTCAAACATAGGGCTGTTACAGACCTTGACCCAATTGTCCTGTATTACGACTTTCCAAACTTGCACTAGTGCAATATAAAAGAGCCTCAAGCAGATTGACCAGGATACTCTTTTGTCTTCTCTGTAGTTCATTAGATATGAATAATTATTCCTTACCTTATAAGCTTCCAAATATAAATAACATAATTATTACATCTGAATAGTTTTAAATGCATATTTTTGCAGCTCCTATGCAGTCATGAGACCATAATTTCATATAAGATTTTTTTTTGTTATCAGGAGCGACTTGAGAAACTGCAAGTCGCGTCTGGTGTGAAAGAATTGGCTCTCTGGACGTTGACCAGGGGACGCCTGGATGTTTTACCATCCTGTAGGAGGCTTCTCTCATGTCCCCACATGGGAAGCTGGAGCTGACAGACGGGAGCTCACCCTGCTCTCCAGATTTGAACTTCCGACCTTTCAGTCAGCAGTCCTGCCATCACAAGAGTGGCATACTTTATTTATTTATTTATTTAGTATATTTGTATACCGCCCCTCTCAGCCTTCCAACGACTCGAGGCGGTTTACAAGGCAAAAATTCAATGCCACCAAAAACACAGATACAATATACAATATAAAAGTCAACAACAATAAAATCAACACTTTATCCTTTTCTTGAGGCCACTTCCTTAGTTTCCTCAGATCCCATAGACCCACTCATCCATATATTTAATTGCATCTTTTGTTTCGCTATGATGCTGCAATTGCCTGCCATGCTAACATACTTCCATTTAAGTTGATGGCATAGTGCCATATGCAGTCACCTAGGTTCTTATCCTTAACTATTTCTCCTCCACTCTTTTATCCCATTCTCCTACAATGGGAACCATAGGCCCTTCAGATGCTATTGCATCAATACTTCCCAGCCATCTTTACCATTGGCTAAACTGGCTGGGGCTGCTGAAAGATGCAGTACAACATGATCCCCTCCCAAACAACCTCATATAAAAAAGGCAATGTCGTAACACTATTTAGCAAAATTTGAAAAAAAAAATGTTCATGGCTTGAATGCATTATTTCCTGTTTAATTGTGCGGTAAAAGGTAAAGGTTTCCCCTTGACATTAAGTCTAGTCATTTCCGACTTTAGGGGGTGGTGCTCATCTCCATTTCTAAACCGAAGAGCTGGCTTTGTCCATAGGCACCTCCAAGGTCATGTGGCCAGCATGACTACATGGAGCACCATTATCTTCCCGTCAAAGCGGTATCTATTGATCTACTCACATTTGCATGTTTTCGAACTGCTACGTTGGCAGAAGCTGGGGCTAACAGTAGGAACTCACCCCCTCCCCGGATTTGAACCACCAACCTTTTGGTCAGCAAGTTCAGCAGCTCCGGTTTTAACCCGCTTCATCACCAGGGGCCCTGAATTGTATGGTACTTACTTTGAAAGTAGTTGTTATACTCTGGAAACTTCACTTCCGTGGCTACCATAAACTATGTTGAATTGATTGAGACTCTATGAGATATTCATTGAAAAACTCTAGCAAATTATGCTGTAGGATGTTTTTGCTGTTGAATAAACCTATTCCACATTCATTTTGATAGAACCCATTAGGAAATGACATTTATAACCCAGGAACAAAAACCGTGTTCCATAGTGTAATTCAAGGTGGAAACCTTGACTTTGGAAGATAAAAAGTTAAACTAGATGGGATCACTGAACAAGATGATTCCATCACGAGTTACAATGCCAAGGATGACTCTTTCGAAAGCAGGAACGAAGTGTTCTGTTGAAATCACCCTCCTTGGTTTCAGTTAGTCTCTTAACCAATTAACACTGGGTTGGGATGTGACAAAGGGGAAGTCTCAGTCAAGTCTAAGTTTATAGCTTTTCCCCAAGCCTTTCTTCTCTAATAGTAATGAGTGTCTTAAGGAGTGTCTTCCTGGAAAATCTTGGCCTCCTCACTGCTTTGTACTGTAGAACAAAGACCAACTCTTAGCAATAATAATAAGCTTTATTTATACCCCGCCACCATCTCTCCAAAGGGGACTCGAGGTGGCTAACATGAGGCCAGGCCTAGAATTACAACACAACAAAATGAAATAAAATACCAACAGCAAATAATAACATCAAAATAAAATGCATAAAATAACAGAAAATGAAATAAACAGATGCAAAATAACATGATGAAGAAATAAAATATAAGCACAGTGAGTGGGCCAAATGAACAGAATAAGATTGATAAAACCTTGGGTGGGATAAGTAAATAGAGAAGTATGTGTCTGTGGGGGAGCTCAGAAGGGATGAACAATGGGATTGAGCCTTCATTAAAGACAAGGGAAAGTGCGTCATGAGGACAGAACTATAGTAGGGACGGATATGATATATTTTATTTTCCGAGCCCAATTCAAGGTGCAGGTTTTGACCTACAAAGCCCTGAACGGTTTGGGACCCACCTACCTGCATGACTGCATTTCCGTCTACGAACCCACACGACCTCTTCAATCTTCCGGAGAGGCTCTTCTCTCACTCCCGCCTGCATCACAAGTGCAAATTGTGGGGATGAGAGAGAGAGGGCCTTCTCTGTGGTGGCCCCCCAGCTCTGGAATTCACTCCCCAGAGATCTTAGGCAAGCCCCCACACTGGCAATCTTCAGGAGGAACCAGAAAACCTGGTTATTCCAATGTGCCTTCAATGATTGATTGTAAGATACTCCCTGACCAAACTTTGCATAAAATGACCTCAGAAACACTTTATTTTATGGTTCATGCAATTAAATCCTTCCTCATCCCCAGATCCCCCTCCCCGATAATTTACATTGTCCTATCTCCCAGTGTTTTAAAATTTTATCTTTGAATTTGGCCCTGCTCAGTGTAATTCCTTTGTGTTTTAATGTTTGATTTTATATTGCTGTGTTGTTTATTATATTGGTTTTGCATTTTATGTATTTTATTTTCTGGTTTTGTTATGCTTTTGTGTTATATTGTGTTTACTGTACTGATGGCCGTGGCCTCATGTAAGCCGCACAGAGTCCCCCTGGGGGAGATGGAGCGGGCTAGAAATAAAGTTTTATTATTATTATAGGGATATGTGTTCATTCATCAAAGGCACACCGGAAGAGCCAAGTTTTTAGGTCTTTCTTAAAGGCTGCCAGGGTGGGGGCTTACCTAATCTCACAGGGTAGCGAGTTCCAAAGCTGAGGGGCCACAATGGAGAAGGCTCTCTCTTGTCCCCACAAGTTGCACTTGTAATGGAGGTGGGAGCGAGAGGAGGGCCATCTCCGAGGATTGGAGAGATTGTGCAGGATTGTAAAAGGAAATGCGGTCACGAAGGTAAGCAGGTCCCAAACGGTTCAGGGCTTTGTAGGTGATAACATGCACCTTTAATCAGGACCGGAAAATGAATGACAACCAATGGAGTTCTTTAAACGGGGGGGGGGGGGGGGGGGGTTAACTGCTCCCTGTAACTTGCTCCTGTTAACAGTCTGGCTGCCCATCATTGGGCCAATTGAAGTTTCTGGGACGTCTTCAAGGGCAGCCCCACATAGAGTACATTGCAGTAGTCCAGTCTAGAGCTAACTAAGGCGTGGACCATAATGGAGGGATTGCCCAAAGCAGCAGATGCTGGGAGGTGGCAGTCAGGTATTGAAGGAGATTGCCGTCTGCTGTGCGGGTCTCTGCTTTGGACCTGCTTGGGAAGGTCACTGTCCCACCACTAACGTTGAAGAAAATTCGTTTGACAGCCTAGTTTACTCTTGAATATGGAACAGAACTGTTTTTCTTTTGTTTTGTCTCTGGCAGCAACATGCTTGTAGCAGGGCTACTATAAAAGCTTCTCTAGAGAGAATATGGGGGTATGTTGTGCTAAATTTTGGGCGATTGAAGCTGACCATTACATGGGTGAGAGCTAATTACTTCTTTTGGGTTTATTTCCAGGTGGATAAAATAGTGGATCAACTTCTCCAGTTCGTTCACAGCTATGACCTGGCTGCCCTCCGGGATTACTGGAGTTATCTCGACAGGCGTCTTTTTAGCCGATTGGAGGATGTGTACCGGCCAACGGTGAACAAGCTGAAAATCAGTTTATACCGCTACTACCTCGTTCACACTGTGCAGGTCTGTGCCAAGTGAGCCTGAAATCTAAATGCCACCATTTGTTGGGAGAACCAGTACCTTGCCTAAGTGTGCGCCGCAAAATGCCACACAGAGCTTTCTGTGCTTTGTGCTGTTTGGTGGGAAAGACCTAAGAGTTTGGGGCTGAGAACAACTGAGCAGCGAAATCTGTATTGGGAGCTGCTGCTGGTGCAGAAATCTGAGCCTTTTTCGGTTTTCTCTATTTTAGACAAACAGGAACGATAAGACGCAGGAATTATTTCTCAAGCAAGCCGCTGAACTTCAAAACCAAGCTGAGTGGAAGGACTGGTTTGTTCTGCCCTTCATCCCGAGCCCAGAGACAAACCCTATCTTTGCCTCATATTTTTCCCGCCAGTGGGCAGACACTTTCATTGTTTCCCTGCACAACTTCTTGAGTGTCGTCTTTCAGTGCATGCATATCCTTTTTAAGTGTGGAAGACTAATTTTTAAATCCCTAGATTCTCAGCCTGTGGGTCCCCAGGTGTTTTGGCCTACAGCTCCCAGAAATCCCAGCCAGATATACCACCTGTTAGGATTTCTGGGAGTTGAAGGCCAAAACATCTGAGGATCCACAGGTTGAGAACCACTGTCCTAGATATATTTCCTACAAGTCACATTGTTTGGACTTTCCTCAATCCACCTTGCTAGGACCAGAACTCAATAGAATTCCCTTTGTTTTGGGTGGAGTACAGCTTTGCCTTGTTGGCTGGAAGACTCTGCTAGTTATATTTCCAAAATGCAACTCCAAATTCCAGCTAGGACTTAGAATCATAGAGTTGGAAGAGACCTCGTGGGCCATCCAGTCCAAATTGCATTCAAAGCACCCCCAACAGATGGCCATCCAGCCTCTGTTTAAAAGCTTCCAAAGAAGGAGCCTCCACGACACTCCGGGGCAGAGAGTTCCACTGCTTAGCAGCTCTCACAGTCATGAAGTTCTTCCTAATGTTCAGATGGAATCTCCTTTTTTGTAGTTTGAAGCCATTGTTCTGTGTCCTAGTCTCCAGGGCAGCAGAAAACAAGTTCGCTCTCTCCTCCTTATGACTTCCCTTCACATATTTATACATGGCTATCATGTCTCCTTTCAGCCATCTCTTCTTCAGACTAAACATGCACGGCTCTTTAAGCCGCTCCTCATAGGGCTTGTTGTTAAAAGCAGCAAGACTCAGCATTGTTCTGGCTGTATCCCTTTGTAGTAGTTTGTAGTAGGTAATGGTGGTAGTTAGCATTTAACCTGTTTTTTTATAAGAAATAATTCCCCTTCTGTCATTTATGATAATAGTAAATTCTTTGTGTGGTAGGGATTCTGCATGTAATAGAAAGATGGGGAAAATGATATTGATAAAACAGGAGTCACACAAATAGCGCACATCTATTTGAATTTTCCATAGGCTCAAATAGGTCTAAAAGTTCCTCTGGAAAATGCTTGTGCTATGATGTGCCTCTGAAAGAAGGCATTTTATAGGCATGTTTCCTTTTTACTTCCTTAACTTGTCTTACCTGTGCCAGTAATCTTGAATTTTGAGACAGAATGTCAAAGAAGTAATCTCCTACAGGAAGAAAATGAAATCTTACGCCAGAAGGTAAAAAGAATTCTGTTTCCATGCAAAAAAAAAAAGTGTTGGTATTAAAATGAAACTATTCACATTATTCACAAGTCTTTAAGACAGCAATGATTAGCAAATCATGGTGTGAATGAGCAAGAATGTGGAATGGTTATGTTTTTGGATTGCAAGTCCCAGAACCCCACAACTAATGTAGTCTACTATCTTTTCCAAGGGCCCTTCCACACAGTCATATAACCCAGAATATCAAGGCAGGAAATCCCACAATATCTGCTTTGAACTGGAATATATGGCAGTGTGGACTCAGATAACCCAGTTCAAAGCAGAGATTGTGGGATTTCCTGCCTTGATATTCTGGGTTATATGGCGGTGTGGAAGGGCCCCAAGCCCTGCTTCCCCTCTCATTCATACAGATTAACACTCTGCAAAACAATAGCTTTGCATAGGTTTGTGTTTGAGCATGCACCAATAAACCAGGATGACAAGCTATTCACATTTTAAACTGCTTTTTTATTCTTGTTTGGTCTTATTTAATCATAATCCCTCTTTTTTTTCCCCTTGTTCATGTGGAGGAGGGTGAAAAATTTACATAAATTAATATTTATTTATTTACGACATTTATATGCCGCCCTTCTCACCCCGAAGGGAACTCAGAGCGGCTTACAAGGTATATATACATAGAATATATTATATTATTAGCATAGTACGATATCAGTTTTAAATATGCTATATTGCACTATACCAATTATATTGTAATATTATTAGTAATATTACATGTAATATAAATATATAATTATAATATCATGTTATTATTAGTATTATATTGCACTACGTTATAGTATTATAGATATTATATGTATATACAATATATTATATTATTATATTATATTATATTATATTATTAGAATAGCACAGGAGACAAGGTGGAACTGTCCCTTGCCCCCCCCCTTCACTCCGGCCCAGGGGTTGGACTGGATGGCCCATAAGGTCTCTCCAACTCTATGATTCTAACTCGTGTGTCTGTAGATGTGTGTGTGTGTGTATTGAGAGAGAGAAATTGTGTATGATATAAATCAGAACTTGGAAATGTTGAATTCTTGGATTCCCTTCCTTCTGTGTGGCTATTAGCAGGAGGGTTAATGTCAACTGTAACCCAAGAAGGTAACATTTCCAAGCACTGATAATAAATAATGTTTTGCATTCCCATGCAAGTGCAGTTCACCCACTTTCTTCTCCCTTTTTCCCTCCCCCATTTTGTAAGCTCTTTGCCTTGCAGGCAGAGCACTCCCGGCTCAAGAAAGAGGAACAGCAGCAGCAACAACAAGAGGAGGAGGAATTGATACTCCAACACAAGCTTCCTTCTTATGTGGCAAACATGGACCATCTGGGGGATACAGAACTGTAAGTCTCAATGCAAGAGGCAGGGTCAGGCAGCTAGCTGCACAGCTGGATGAGAGAGAGGCACCTTCACTTTGGCACAATTATTCG